CTACAAATCCAGAACAACTTCATGCCAATAAGATATTCATACAGAGATTTGAAGAATATGACTAAGAATTTTAAGGACAAGTTGGGAGAAGGAGGCTACGGCACTGTATTTAAAGGTCAGCTTAGAAGTGGCCCTTTTGTTGCAATAAAATTGACAGGAAAATCCAAAGCTAGTGGACAGGAATTTATCAGTGAAGTGGCTACCGTTGGAAGAATTCACCATGTTAACGTGGTTCGACTCATTGGCTTCTGTGTTGAAGGTTCAAAACGTGCTTTGATATACGAATTTATGCCAAATGGTTCACTTGAAAAGTTCATTTTCCCACGAGAAGTTACAGTTTTCTTGAGCTATGGTAAAATCTTCGAGATTGCTCTTGGGGTGGCTAAAGGGGTTGATTATTTGCATCGAGGTTGTGACATGCAAATTCTACATTTTGATATAAAACCTCACAACATTCTTCTCGACCATAATTTCACTCCTAAAATTTCTGACTTTGGGCTAGCAAAATTGTATCCGGCAGACGAAAATATGGTATCTCTAACTGCAGCAAGAGGTACAATGGGATACATGGCTCCAGAAATGTTCTACAGAAACATCGGAAGAGTTTCGTACAAATCAGATGTTTATAGTTTCGGAATGCTGTTGATGGAAATGGCAAGTAAAAGGAGAAATTTGAATCCGTCTGCAGAAAATATAAGCCAAATTTATTTCCCTGGTTGGGTTCATGACAAATTCAGCAAAGGAATGGAAATTGATTTGGGGGATGCTTCTTTGGATGAAAGAATAATGGTGAAGAAAATGACACTTGTAGCCTTGTGGTGCATACAGATGAAACCTGACGATCGTCCTTCCATGACTAAAGTATAGAGATGCTCGAAGGAGACGTTGAGTTGTTGCAATTGCCTCCAAAGCCATTCCTCTCTCCAGAAGAAATGCCGGACAGAGATATAGACATGAATGATATGGAGTTTCCAATGTTGTCTGTTAGTTTTGATTAAAAAACCAAGTCTGCATGCGCATTGAAATTTAGGAGGATATGATAATAATTATGACTTGTATCAAAGTTCAATTGCATCGAATAATTATGGATTACTAAGTTTTTATTGATTAATGTATTAGTTGAATTGATATGTCCATATATGTAATGCAACATTAGGATCGCATTCATATTTGATAATCCTTTAATGTCGAAATATGTTGGAAGGTCTATGCCCTTTGGGTAACCCTAAAACGTGATTTGACTCTATAAAAAAGATCACTTGCATGCTTGCTCAGTGTTTGACATGATGGGAGATGAACTGTCGATCAAACTCCAATGTTGAAGTTGACTTTGCTAGTGGAAAAAAATGATCCTTGGAGATTCAATAGAAGTGTTGATTTCTCATAAATGGGGTCGGAATTTTAGTGTTATTGTTGGAAGAGTAAACACATAATGTGGACAGGTATCAATATACGTAATGGTGACACCCGGATGCCCAAATACAAGATTAAAACAACTTTCATTTTTCTTATTTTCTTTTTCTTTTATTTACTCTAAAACATATTGTTCAGACTTAGAGCATGTTCAGTTAAGTCTAGAAAAAAATGATAAAAGTAAATTTTAAGAAATTTTTGTCTCCGAATATGTTTATACTCTTTCATACTTTGAAAGTCGATGAAAATTGTAGGGGTTGCTTATGAAAATTTGCATGAGTGCTTGTTTGGGGATTGGAAGAAATGAAAATTAGTCGCGAGCTGCAATGCTATGGAAGACATGGTGTGTGGAGTCAGTCGATCAAGGAAGTGGGTCCAAGGGAAAGCATAAAGTTAAGGAATAAAATTTAAATCAATATGAAATCTATAAAATTGGGCGATTGCACAACTATTGTAGTGGGGAATTGTGAACCCATCATTTACATCAAGTCGGTCAAACATAAAGGTCCTCTAGGTAGGTAGTTCGGCTTATGAGTTTTGAATGAGGATCGAAGATTACGCTATCGAAGCTTTTGGACCACATGGGGATGAAGTGTATATCAACTTCCAAGTGAAAGCATGGGATAATAGTTTGTGGCAATTTTCATCGAAC